TTAATTATCTAGATATAACAATAGAGAGAAAAAGTGATAAATTAATTTATAAAAAATATGTGAAATCTATACAAATACCAAAAACAATTAATTATAAATCTATTACACCTATAAGTATGAAATATAATATATTTAAAATGTATATAAATAAAATAAGACAACGAACTAGTGAAATTAAAACTCAAGAGAAAGAAGAAGAAGAAATAATAAAAATGTTTATGTTAAATGATTATCCAAAAAGTCTATTGAATAAATGGTTAAAAAATTGGAAATAGATAAACAATCAAGTTTAATAGATAAAAAGAAAAGTTTTGTTAAAATAAGGTATATCCCTAAGATATTTGAAAGAATTAAGAAAATATTAAATAATAGAATCAATCTAATACCGGAAAAAGTACATACAACAATAAACCATTTATGTTATAGAAATCATGAAAATTACGATATATTAGAAGAAAAAGGAGTTGTATATTCATTTAATTGTAGTTGTAAACCAGAAAAAATATATATAGGAGAAACGAAAAGGAAACTAAAAATAAGAATAAATGAACAAATCTGAGCAATCAAGAGAAATTATGCAAATTCAGTAGTCGCAGAGCATTGTAATAATACAGGTTGTGAAATAGTATTGAATTCCGTAAAAATAAAGAAAAAAGAAAAGACAACTTTATGAACATATTTATATAATCAGACAAAATAATAGAATAAACAGCAATAATGGTAGAGAAATCCACCAATCATGGCTAAGTTTCATAGATAAAGGGGTGTGTCCAAAAGATAAAAAGAACGATGGAAAGAAATGGAAACGAGGTGTGAGGCAAACAGAAAGAGAACAAATGTAAGTTGTAATAACAGAAAGCAAATATATAAAATTAAGATAATGTTAATAGAATTTGGTTTAATACAGGTTTAAAATAATAGTAATTGTGATCTTGTTGATAAAACTTGAATATCCAGTGGAGCAAAAAATTAAGGAAAACTGGAAAATTGTAAGAATTTTATTGAATATTTTTGTCGGAAAATTTTAAAATGTAAATTTTAATAAAAATTTTTTATTGTTTATAGAACATATATAAATACATGCTGAGGAGGGACGAATATGTCCGAAACGCAAAATTGTGTATGTGTCCAGGTATACGAAATAAAATAAAAATTGTTTTCTGTTAATCTTTGTAATATTATCTGTATAACCAGTATAATAAGTCTTGATAATAGAAGATATGAATTTATAGTCGAAAATTTACATGGCAACTCATTTCTACACATCAAACATTATCTTCGGAATTTGTTCTAGAATATGCAAATAAAGTGGACTGGGATGCAATATCTTGATTTCAAAATTTAGATAATGACTTTATTAGGAAAAATGCCCTAAAATTAAATTTATAATCACTTATAAGATGTCAAAATATATCGGAACAATTACTCGAAGACTTAGATCGATTAAATGTATTAGACCGGAAAATAGTTGTTAAATATCAAGAATTATCCGAAGATTTTATTATAAAACATAAAAATAAAATTGATTGGTGTGATGTTATTTTAAAGAAAAGGTTCTCCGATGAATTTATTGAAAATAATTATAAAAATTTAGTTTCATAGTTAGCTAGAATTTGTAATAAATGATATTGATTAAATTTTTTCATATATAAATGAAGACTGAATGAACTAAATGCTATTGGTAGACTTTAAAATACTCCCATAAGAAAGTTATGCGAACTACAAACTGATAACGAATATCCAGTTCTTAATGTTAAATCAGTATCCACTTGCTACTATGATAAAAAAAATTAGTAGTTCTCATGGACACCAAGTGGAAGGAATTTCAAGTTTATCTGCCAGATCTATTCAATAAAAAATAATGGATAAGGATATTAAAGTATTAAATAATATGGGAAATTAAAAATTTGTATGCAGAGGTATGAAATATTGTGAGAATGCAAATAAAGCACATATTGTTGAGTTTGTTAATTAATACAGCAGGAGGCTAGAAGGATATTGAGGCTGCTGATTTTTTTTATTTTTGCTTGATTTTCCACGATTTTGAAATTTTCTAATTTTGAGTCATTTACATTTTGGAACGTGCACATTTTACTGAGCTAAAATTGGTATATATATACTACTGCCAACATTGGTAATAATTAATATAATCAAATTGTTTTTTTTCCTTGTTCTTCTTACATAAATGTAACTTACACGAGAAAATTATATTTTTCTTTCACTTCTGACTTTTGGATATTATATAACTTTAATTCTTTTAATCATTATTGGTTTAATGTTTTAAAATTTGTTGAAGCTAAAAAGATAAAAATAAATCGGTTTGCAGAGAAAAATACTTTTACTGTATTTACATTACTAACGAGCTCCCCAAATGCATTTCACCTATGAAAGGGGACTAATCAGTATACAGTTCATGCTCCAACAATCAACTCATTAATAAAAGCCACTTACATAGTTTACAAAAAATTCCCAGCATTTCACTGTTAACATTTCTGTATTTAAATTTACATTATTGTTCTGCATAATTATAGTGAAGTGTTCTTTTACCTTCTGCTTTACACTGTTTTTTTTCTCTAAAAATAATTTTTAATTTATTAGTATTAATCTGGCAATTATTACTATTAGTGTTGGAAGACAGGAGAATTACTAATTTTTAAACTTATAGCAGCCAGTCTAATTTTCAATCTTCGTTTCATTTCACCAGTATAAAAACTAGACTTGTTACATGTGTGTTCTATCTGATAAACAAAACCTTCTTCCTCTAATAAATCCTTTTTGGCACTTCTTATAATCATCATATTTAATAACCTGTTCTCTAAAAATGGAGCCAATCTATTGTGTTTTGATAGATAATAAGTACAAATCTTGCAAACCTGCTGTAGTCGTGACAGATTTATTGTCAGCATCAAATGGATCTCAGGAAATTTTTTTAAAAAGGTAAGTTACATTCTCATGATTCATCTTTCTGATAACCTACGTTTACTCTATTTTTATTCCATGATCTCCATACCTAAATAAACTAGAAGTGAATTTTGTGTCATTTTTTTAGGAACTACTGCTCAAGAGAAAAAAAAGATATAGACAGTAGCAATGATTTTTTTATGATCTGGCCCTTTCCTAAAAAAGTTTGCTGACACCTGCCTTATTATGGTGATAGTGAATTAACAATGCTCACAGTACAATTTACATTGGGGGAAATCCTCTCAACTGCTGAAATAAGCTGCAACTTCTAAAATGATCCTCTAAAATAGGGTGATCAGACGTTCTGATTTCTGGGAACTGTCCTTGGTTTTGTCTCTTTTTAATATTTAATTCTAGAATCAATTTTTAAATATAGCAATTTAGGGGTGTGTCACGACTGCAGAAGCTGCTGGTGCATTTTCCTTCAGACCTTAACAATGTGAAGGAAGTTTTTGTATTGAAGTTTTTCAAATGTTTTTTATTGGGAAAACATGATAGTATTAAAATTAATTTGATAATTACTTATTTCTGGACTGAAATCTAACCCTTACAAAGATCCCTGATAGAACTCAGATGACCCTATTGAGTCAAAGTAAGTCAAGCAACAGAAAAATCAACTTCACAACCTTAACAACACAAAAGAAAACATACAAAACATGGAATTACAAATGGAAAAGGAACTTGTGCACTTCAAAATAAAATTACATTAATTTGATTGGATTCTGTAATTAATATCCTAACAAGATATATGGAATTTTATGAAACACACTGAATCTAGATTCAGTACTTTTAGAAGATATCCTAGACATAACTCAATTAACTAATACAATAAAATATGCAAATTTCAGCCAATTTCTTAGAGTTTGTCATTCGATGAAAGAAGTGAATAAAGATTATTCCTTGATGATAATTTTATAACGAAATTCCCAAAGGGTTCTCGTACCTGACGAAATAATCTTTTTCCTCTCAACATAGGAATAAAAAAACAAAATTGTCAGCTTAAACTTCCTAATATATTTTTTTATCTTGACCTAATATCAAACCAATTAGGAAATGTGGTAAATTTTTTATCAATTCCATCAATACAGAATTTTACAACTTTTAAAGTCCAATAAATATCGTGAATAATCAAATGTTAGCAGTGATAAACTGAAATTTCCAGGGATTAAAGAATAAAATTTCATCAAATGACCTATTTCAGCTTAAACTTGAAGTAGATATTATTGAATAGCAGAAACATAGATTAAATACATTCAAAGACTACTTAATTGAAAATGTTCCTGCTAGAACATCAACTGTACCAGACCAGCCTAGTGGAGAAATATGATTATTATTAAAAATTCTTCAAATAAAAAATACTCAAATGATTAAACCTAATTTTACTAATTTAAGAAATGAATTAATGATTGTGGCTGTTGCCTATATTCTACCAAATAAGACAGACATACTAAAAGAATTTTTTAAATCACTTGAACTTTGGCAACATATTACACCATTAATTCTGCTTTTGGGAGATTTTAATTCTCATATTGCTGAAATAAACAACGAAAGACTCTCGGTACTATGGTCCAATAACTTAATTTTAAATACTCAACTTTCAAAGGATAAATATAGCAATAAATTAGGTGCAAGTACGATAAATATATTAATAGATTTAAAAATATACACATGCAGTGGTTGTATAATATCCGACCACCCTGCTAAATTTACTTGTGTAGAGTATAAAGGAAGTTCTACAATTGATTTTACTCTTTTTTCTGATTTTTTTTTGGATTTATGTGCAGACTTCAAAATATTAAATTATGATGCATCAGACCATTTTCCCTCCATTGCTAAATTTTTCACAAAACAAAAAACAAAGATAGACAAATTCAATAATTATCTAAAAAAATTTATAATTTATCAAGATATCAAGAAGAGAGCGAAAATAAATTTAATTGTATTCCTGACATTACTGAAATTCTATTGAAACTTACAGGTTCATTGAACAATTAATGAAAGAATATACATTAGATCCACCTATAAAATGGGTTCATATAGTTCGGATTCCTATATGACGGCGAAAAAATAGCGACCGTATTTGTATAAACACGCTAAAAGAGACTCGTATAATTCGGTAAAACGTCATTGCCGACTCGTGTCGCGATAGGATTGGTCGAATCTAGACCAATAGCGGATATTGTACAAACCGTTGGGTTTAAACGAGCAGCGGACCTACTAAAAACCATTTATTATTTAATGGCCATAAAAATTATATTTATATTAATGATGTCTCCAAAGTTCAGCAAATTTTTCGCAGAAAATTAATTTATCAGGAAGCACACGCCCACCATTTAATGAGCGTTCCACAACAAAAATAAGCTTAAGCAATGGCGTCGTCAAATGGTGCATGCTCAGTAAGTAATCCTATAATTTTTTGTTTATAGCATAGTTTATATGGATTCTTCCCAAAAAATTATACAGTTGACCCCCCTGTAACACGGTAGATACGTTCTGATCTTTATGAAATTCATTTTCTACGAGTCCTTAAATATAGGAGCCAATCACAGCCCGGCACGTATGCAGTTTACGGACAATGGCTGTTTGAACAGTTTTCTTCCATAAAATGAATCGATTCTAGACTAATTTGACTCAACATTTCCAAAATACATATAATTTTTTGGAAATAACCCACATAAACTATGCTATAAACAAAAAATTGTAGGATTACTTACCGAGCATGCACCGTTCAACGACGCCGCTGCTTAAGCTTGTTTTCATCATGGAGCTTGCGTGCTTCCTGATAAATTATTTTTCTGCAAAAAATTTGCTGAACTTTGGAGACATCATTAATATAAATATAATTTTTATGGCCGTTAAATAATAAATGGTTTTTAGTAGGTCCGCTGCTTGTTTAAACTTAATGGTTTGTACAATATCTGCCATTGGTCTAGATTCGACCAATCCTGTTGCGACATGAGTCAGCGATGACATTTTACCGTATTATACGAGTCTCTTTTAGCGTGTTTATACGAATATGGCCGCAATTTTTTTGCCGTCATATAGGAATCCGAACTATATGAACCCATTTTATAGGTGGGTCTACTGTACGTGTTTTGGAAATGTTGAGTCAAATTAGTCTAGAATCGATTAATTTTATGGAAGAAAACCTTTCAAACAGCCGTAGTCCGTAAACTGCACATGTGCCGGGCTTTGATTGGCTCATGCATTTAAGGATTCCTACAACGTGAAATTCTTATAAAGTGGAACGTATCTACCGCATTGTAGGGGAGGTCAACTGTATACATATTAAAAATGTGAAAAAACAACCTGTTCAATTCAGAAAAACCTTAGTTTGGTTTTGATTGCTAAAAATGAAATTATTAAAACAAAAAAATTCAAATAATCAAAACATCTTTAACTGTAAAAAAACTAAACAATTTTATAACAATTTACTTAAAGTGGAACAGAAAATAATTGTAAATTTGGAAACTAGTCTAATAAATGAAAAAGGGAAAAGTAAACATTTCTGGTCAACAGTTTGAAAATTCCAGATCAATATTGACTCCAGCAACAACAACTCCAAAAATAGATAAAATTTCTATGGACAGTTTCCAAAAATTCCTTCTATGCAATTATCTTCAGCTATAAGATCACTTCATAATGAATACTTAGATTCAAAATTTACAATGGAAGAACTAAATAACTCAATTAATACAATGCACAGTAATTCATCACCAAGAAGTGATTATATCCTGATTATATTTCTCAAATAACTATCAAACTCAGCAAGGTCTAAGTTACTTGGTTTATTTAATTTAATAAAATGTACAATATATCCTCTTATATCCTGCTTTGTGGAATTACATTTGATATTCAAAAAGGGAAATAAACTTCTTCCTAATAATTACCAACCAATAGCTTTTCTACCCACCTTAAGAAAATGTTTTATGGCAATCTTAGCCAAAAAAATTTCATTATGCATATGTAAGAAAAAGAGATTCCCCTCTTTATCCGGCGAACTCGGCTGACCCCCGGTCTTATAAGGCAGCCGTTTTCTGCGCAATAATCAAGAGATCATACTTGCGTTTTACTGAGCCATCCGATACCAACAAGGAGCTAGGGCTACTTATACATATTGCATTCGTGCATGGGTACAATTGCTCATTAATTTAATCAACACTCTAGCTTCCACACATCTAGCTAGGTCATCCAACACCAGTACAAGCATTAACAAAACAAAGGGTAATCCTAACTGAACTGTGAACCGTCCCTACATCAAATTTACAAGAAGATTGCCAAAGATTTAAATGTGTAACTTATAAGAGAAAACCCAATATTTTCCACCTTCTTTCTAATGCTAAAGGCAGCACAGATGATAATGCAAGAGCACCAGGGATTTACCGTATCCAATTACAAGATTAACTGTTTAACAGGAGACTGACATACATTAGATCCACATACAGAACTCTTCAAGTTATGCAATCACAAATACGACGTGGCAAGGGAAAATAATAATACTGCTCTGGCCCATTATTCCACCATTATTGGGACAAGGCTACCCTGATACAGAATCTTTGACCAATGTGACATAAGATTGTTGGAGGCCTTAGAAATCTACAGACAATCTACAGAGCCGACAAGAATGGAACATGCATCAACACCAATTGCATTCCAATACCACACGCCTGGAATTATTATTTAGACTCACAAAACGCTATATATCACAGCCTCTGCTTGAACATGTTTAAAATTTTTTAAAAATTAGAATGCGGCTGTATTCGATCTATAGAATGGTTTTTCATATTCGTTTCCTGACGAGAGTCGATAAATTGTGACCAAAAATGTTTGAACAGTAAATATATGTTTGTTTGTTTGTTTGCTGTAAATTTGTGTTTAGGTGTTATTCTGTTTAAGAAACAGAGGTACAGAATCTGCAATATTTTTGCTATCAGGAATTCAACTCCACTTGTCCAAAAAACAAACTATTTATAGCTTTCATAGATATTGAAAAAGCTTTTGATGAAGTCTACGTAGAACTTTTGGTTCAAAATTTGACACACATACAAACAGGCAAAAAATTTTCCCCATACAGTGCTTAAATTATTTTCAGATTATATGTTGTTTCCTTGAATGATACTAAATTATCTCTTGGAGTTCTACAGGACAATCCACTTTCTCCATATCTGTTTCATTTTTATTTGACTGGGATTGACCAACTCTTTACAAACGCCACTGTTGGCTTTGAAATTGCAAATGGACCTTTTCATATATAATTTGCAGATGATTTTAGTTATTATGGCACTGACTAAAATTTCTCTGCAAAGGAAAATCAATTAACTTAATATCAATTTACCCAAATAAAACAATGATAATGATTTTTAGACATAATAATAAAATCTGTGGAGAAGAAACTATATTGTATTTAGATAAATAAATTTGACATGGAATGAATTACTAATTTATACTAACTCTTCTTCAATATCACTAATATAAAAGCTGGGTGTGTGTTTGTGTGTGTGTAAATATTCCTTAAAATTCCTGCAATTTTTGTCCAATCCAGATGAAGTTTTGGTTATATTCATTTTATGCTCTGACGAAAAAAATAAGGCTACCTGTTTTAAGAAAATATTAGCTATAGAATAAATGTTTTATCGATTTGGGATTGGTGATCACACTTACATTACAGTGACGTAAGTGACCACGTGACATTCTTGCTCGACCAGGGAATTTCCCTTAACTTGCATTTTTAAATATTTTGGTAAGTGGCATATTTTAAATCTATTTCATTAAATTTCAAATTTAAACATTAAAAAAGATGGCCTCATCATGTCACTTCTATAACAAATTTTTTTAATTAAATGTCACGTGACGTTTTATTATTCAATTGGAAGTAACGATCTAACGAGTCCATTATTTAGAAAGTGTTATCACTCATCTAACTTGTATGTACTGAACATTAATTATCTGTTTTATCAACAGGGAATTAAGAATTGGTTTTATCAATGGCTGCAGAAACATAATCACAATGTCAATCATCAAAAAAATATTAAGGTGTCTATTACTAAAGGAAAACATCAAGGAAATCTTTTAAAAGACAATAGAGTTTACTCAAAATGTAGTTTATATTTATTATCAAAGGCTTAAATAATATGCTTTGTGCTGTGTGTGTGTGTGTGTGTGTGAATTCTCTACAACTGCTACTTTTTTTGCTCCAATTCAGGTGAAATTTTTGTTTTGTTGCACTTTATGTTACAACAGATAGTATGAACTATTTAATTTGAAGAAATATTAACAACTCTTGAGTTTCTTCAAATCTCTTCAATCTCTACTTTCTCATAAAAAGTATTCTGTCATGCTCCACGGGGAAATTTTTAGTTATACGTACCGAAAGACGGAAGTTTACTCAAATACAAGTTATTTGGAATTGCTGTATTATATAAGCTAAGTTCAACTCAAGACTTTAGAGAAAACCTAAATAAACTCTCAAAGGAGGCATTGTACAACTTGTACAACTTTGTAATTAAAATTGTGAAGGAAGATGTAACTACCAAATAATACATAAAATCTAAGGACTTGTAAGAAAATAATTACTGATGTAAATTTTCAATTTATTGTTCTAAAATGTATATTTTTCTTTTTGATGATTGTAAGTACTTAGTCCCTGAGTAACAGGGCTCTTACCCTTAATACTAATAGATATTAATAGAATGATAATGAATAATAAATATAGCAATTTTATTAAAATACTAATATAAAAGCACCAATTTATAGATAAAGAAATAAAAAAAAATCACCAAAGTCAAGCCAGTTTTAGACCCATTTTTCACTATCTCTGAAATGTGTCTTGTTGGATTGTAATCGTTGGTTATGGTCAGCCTGTCTGAAAACATTTGTATGTTCTTTTCTAAATGAGACTTAACAAATTTATATTTATTTTATTTTGTTTGTAAAAAAGATATTATACAATTTTCATTCTGCTGTAAATATAACTTATTTCAGCTAGAAAATAATAATAATTTTTTAAACAACTAAAAGTAAATGATTTCCAAATACATTTTACTACAGTTTCATATATA